CATGACCCCCCTGACCCCCCCCTGGAATTTTATAGCGTAACTAAAATCGAGATTTTTGAAAAATCACACCACATCACTTAAGCAGCAAAAACCCATGATTCAAATGAAAACTCTCTCGTTTTTGTTGTACGCATGCAGAAATCTATCCAACAGTTCACTCTATCAGACGTATGCTCTCAAATCAACGCAATTAAGACTAACTACTTGTCTTAATCTATGGACTAACAACGCTTCAGGCCACGATTTCATATCGGCAAAAATTTGCAATAATTTCTCATCAAAAACTTTGATAGTGATGATCCTAAGCCAGATAAACCATCTAATTGTGCCTCATTTTAACCATCTATTAGTCTTCTGCCGCTCGTGCCCAAAGTTTTTGAAAGACTGCTTCTGAAACCTCTAAAACGGAAATTCAACAGGATGCGTTTGATTTCAAACATCCAATTCGGCTTTCGGAATAAGCACTCAACTATTGAGCAAATAAGCAGATTCACTAATCAAGTATCGGAATGGTTAGAGAATAAACTTTAAAGTTGCTTTCGAACGTGTTCTTGAAAAAAAACGCGGATTTACATCAGTTTTTTGTCCCAGGCAAAACTACCTTATACTTACATTTACCCAGCTTCTGCAGCCATGCAAGAAAACTGAAAGGATTTAAACCTCCAGACCTGCCAGATTGTTTTCCTTGCTCGAAGAAGCAAGAAGAAATTTGTTTTTTTCGGGGAAACGTCGTATAAAACTGCGAAAAGCTATATGTTTGTTGCATTTTGGGTTTTAGATCATGCATAAGCTCTGATGAATGATGAAGAGTACATTTTTTCTTAAAATAAAAAAATATCTTAAATAGAYGTGCAAATACGTTAAGACTCCTAATTTACAGTTGTTTAAATTGGTTTCCAWTTTAGTAATTTTTTTTTGAGTTGCAAARTCCACTTGAACATGACGCTGCTTTTTTCGARGTTTCTCAAGAACCRTTYGAGCCASAKAAKTCGTTGTCGTTTTGRCATCGWTGGATAGAGAATTGAAAAGTCGATTCAGTCGTAACAACGTTAGTGAGGAAATTCGAGTAGTTTTGACCCAGAAAGCGACATTTGAAAATCAGACAATTAGGTGCAAGATTATGCCAAAGTTCCATGTTTTCCGTCCCGTTTTTGCTCATTTCTCGGAGGCAAAAT